GTGGGGCCGAGGGAGGGGGGGGGGCACTGCCCCCCCCCCTCTGCTTCCCCTGCGCGTGCTCAGCCCGATCTGAGCATGCGCAAGAGAAGGAAGCAGAGGGACGGTCCGACTGGAACACTGCGGCGTTTTTTCAAGATATGATATAGGTTATGGCACAGGAACCTGTGGGTGACAGATTTGCTAGCTGATAAAGGGAGTTAGAGTGGAAAGCACAACATACTCATAACGCGGTACACAGCATTAGTTAGGCGTTGATTTCAGCAAATGATATCAAGGAGAAGGTGGAGAAGGCGACGGCGGGTGACAGGAAATGATAACTGATAGGGTCTGATAGAGAACGATGCAGTTGTTGCTCAGTCAAAAGCTGAAGCCTCTTCACCACGAAATTATGGAGTTCAGTTATAACGACATTGATGACAGGTGACAAGCAATTTTATCAGTTGATAAGTAAAGATAAGGGGACATTCTCACGACATCTCTGACCACTATACTGCCAAAAAAAGCCTCTCAGTAAGCAAAATTTTCCCACAGCCATCACTCCTTTGATAGCACTAAAACATGTACTCATCCCACTAGGGGGGGTATATACTTCGCCTGAAACAGGAAGTTTGGAAAAATCAAAAACTTCAATATTGGAGCACACTTTATGCGTTCAGTGAGTATTTAACTTCTTTTTTGCTTTTCAACTTTTAATCACTGATGAGAACGAATAACGAAGTAGTTTGTGAGATATTGTTTTTGAGTATGCCTGATGTATGCAAGTATGAGGGGTGCAGATTTCGCTAGGTTACTCTGTCTATTATGATTCAACCACTACTGCGCAGTTTGAGCAGCTCACGCAATTCACAAATTCCATCCCGTTATGATGCGCGCCTGGCGAAGCCTGCCTGGCCAGCTCGGCGAAGCCGAGCTACAAGAAGGAGGAAGCGCCTCCGGCCGGCCAGCTGGGCGATCCGACTGGCGATCAAAGAGGAACGAAGGCTCAAAGAGAAACTCTAAGAGAGCTCAGATATTACGAACGACACAGCCTAAATATTGTCATCTGCAGCCATTCATGGCAACCTTGCAGGTGATTGCATGTTAATGACAAGGTTAATCGCCCACCGTTGTGTTGTGATGCAGGTAAAATAAAAACGGATTTGTTTTCGTCTACTGTCAACACAATATGATATTCTTGTATTCCTTTATACTTCTAAAGATCTACGTATAAGAATGGGCGTTATGGCCGAAACCAGCAGGCCTTCTGCAAATAATGAGGGTACAGATTTCGCAGATTACTCTGTCTATTATGATTCGCCACTATGCGCGCAATATGAGCAGCTGCAGCGCAATTAACGAATTCCTATTCCGTGCGCCTGGCGAAGCCAGGCCAGCTCGGCGAAGCCGAGCTGAAAAGAAGGAGAGAGACTCCGGCGTCAGCCGGCGATCCGACTGTTATAATAATATAATCCGCTAAGTGTGTCGTGTGTAGTGTGTCACGAAATTCACATAGCGCCGATCCAGTAGGATGCTAGGAATTGATCCGGACAGTGATAGTAGAGCTGTGACAGGAACATTATTGTGAGGTGACGAGCGCGATTGATATCAGCTGTGATAAGATCCGATAGAGGGAGTTAGAACGGTAAGGTCCCCACACTCATAACGAGGACACAGGCATCAGCTATGGAGTTGATTTCACAGAAAAATGATGCAGGGGTGGGAGAGTGGCGACATCCGACGGCAAGTGACAGACAGTGATAACAGCTGAATAGGTGTTTGGACTGCATCACGGCTCCAATCGGTTTGTAGTGGTTCAGTGGTAGAGTTGTGGCAAACAGTTGTTCATAACTTCTAATCTTTATCTACGCAATAAATAATACGACAGAGATACAACAGTTAACAACTACAAAGGAACATAGTATGCTGGTACTGAGGCTTTGCTGTACGTGAGCCGCTTCGTGGGTAGTGTGGTTTGTTTGTTAGCCCGTGGGTGATTGACGATATAAGCCGTTCGCCGCGGGTCCGCCGGCCTGTAGTGTACTCCCGGACATGCCGAGGTTAACTGTAAGTGTTATGTGTCAGAGAGGAGAGAGACCTAAAGAGAGAAAGACCGCCGCCGAGCTGGAAGACGAAAGTGTGACGAACTGAAGCCTAGCTACCATCTGGCAGCCGGTATCTTATTGGCCTCGAAAGGGCGCGGTACGGCCAACCGGTTCCGGGCGGTACAAAAGTCCCGCCCCCAGGGCGGCCCGCTCTGCGATGAGCCGGATCGTAGCACGACGAAGGCACCAAGCGGCTGCTAGGGGTGGCTCCTCGATATCATGACGAGGGTCATGACATAGGGGCAGAATAAGGAACGTTGCCGATTGGCTGTTCAGTCGAACTGGCTGGAGGCTTACACTACCATATTATAGAGTAGTAAGAGCATAGGGACATTGTTACACGATGACGAGGCTCTTATCATTGATAAGAAAGATAAGCGACATTGTCATTACATCTCATATCGCTTATTCTGCAAGTATTCGGAGCCCCGTGCTGCAAAACTTTTCCTTTAGCCATCACTTCTCTAATAGCCTAGAAAAACTCATCCCACTATGTCGTTATGTCGAAGTCGACGAGCGGGGGCGGAGATATGTAGTTCGCCTGAAACATTAAACTCGGAAAAATTTTCGAGGAGAAATGAAAAAACTGACATAATGTGCACTTCTCATCGCATTCAATAGCACTTTCTTACTTTTGAACTTCCAATTGACTGATTAGATCGAGTAAACAAGGGCTATAGCTAAAAGTTACTTAATAGTTATTAGCTTCAGCGGATTGCAAGCGTGAGTGAAAAGGGAAAGGTTCATCAGGTAGGACATTTCGCGTGCAGTGCGAACGGAAATCGCAAAGCTGCTTTTATTCACTGAGCGAATCATACTGCGCTGTATATGACCACTACACATTGTGTCTAATATCTAGAGATGTATATTTTTATTGGGTAATGGCGCGAGACCACACCCCTACCCCTGCCTGCAAATAGAAGACGTTGCTAACATAAGATTGTAGCCACGATCGCAACTCTTCCTCTATCTCGCTACCGATTCGATCACTACAAGCGCCGTGATAAGCAGCCCACTAATTGAAAAGAATTCCGTTACCATATGGAACGCGCCTGCGCGAAAGCGAGCTGAACGACAGGAAGAGAGCTCGGCGTCAGCCGGGCGACCCGACTGATAAATAATAAATAAATAAATAAATAAATAAACAGAATAAATAGAATTAATTAAATAAATAAATAAATAAATATATCCTAGTATATATATATTATATATATATACATATATATATATATAATATCATATAATATATAATATAGTAATTATACTATATATATATATAGTACTAATATATATATATATATACAGGGACCAACAAAAAAAAGTCACTTTTCTAAATTCTCATCGGACATTTTCACCACCATATGAAAGAGCATATTGAATGCTATCATGACACTCCGCCACAGACTTCTGGACGAGCGCCATCGAGAGATTCTGGCACGCGACCGCGATGTGGTGGCTGAGATCAGCGAGATAGTCGATTTCTCCGCCACTGTAGACCGCCCTAATGAACTCCGCTCGAACCGGGTAATTGAGAAGATTCAGGTCAGGTGACCTACATGTATTCTATCTTCTTTCGGTACCCACCCTCCCCCCCCCTCCATTCCAACTAGGCGAGAGTTTCTCCAACGCCCTTTGATTCCATGTGGTGGCACCCAATGCTGTAGCAGTACAAGATTTCCAAGAAGGTACGGACGACGACATGTGAAGAGGATATTCTCCACGAGTTGCTCCATGTAACCACCAGCGCCCACCTTATGTCCGGGGCCCACGAAGAAAATATTGGTCTTCCCATTCCAGGTACGTCCGGTCCATACCATCAACCCGCGGCTTGACGACTGTGGTGAAGATGATGTCTTAGACCGTGGCGACGTTGTCGGAGCTGCTCGATGACGAAGGTCATCAAGATTGAGAGTATCGGTCTCCAGGTAGATATCCATGGGTGTCTCCATACTAGAAGTTTCGCAGCTGTTTGGAGATGACGTGAATTCCAAAAGTCTTCTCCAGTCAGGCTGCGACTGGAGATGACTTCATATTTTGGTATACATGAAGATAATGGGCGAGAGCCAGCTCCTGCTTGGAGAGGAACATCTTGGGTATCTTTTGCCCTGGTACTCGTATCCACGTCATCTGTCTGGGCAGCGAAAACTTTGCTGATATGTGACTCGGTCGAAGTGACTTTTTTTTGGCTCCCCTGTATATATGACTGTAGTGCGGGGAGAAGTCAAGTTGTTATCTTATAGAAACCCAAGATCCTTGACCTCATTAACCTTGGTAATCTCCTTATCATTCATACAATAAGATGCATGGCAGTGGGAAGAAGAGCCCATGCGCATATGAAACGTTTTGCTAGTCGAAAGCGGTATCTGCCAATTCGCTGACCAACGGAGAAGCCGATCAATTGTAACTGTAACTTAACCGTATCATGAGGGGAGCTTATAACTTTGTAGAAATTGAGGTCACCGGCATACTGTTTGGAACAACTTCATCCCGTAGACAGAAACAACTCAAGTCAGCCGTATCAATTTTGAAAAGTATAGGGGATAGAACTCCACCTTGAGGAATCTCACTCTCGGAGGAGAAAATGTTTGAGTACGAGGCATTAACGCGCTCTTGATAAGTTCTTCCAGTGAGAAAGGCTTTCATCCATTTATAAACATTCTCATGAAAACCTAGCTTACTAATTTTAAATAGCAGTTTTGAGTGGCTGACCTTGTCAAATGCTTTAGTGAAATCAAGGAGTATAACATCTATACATTGCTTGTTGTCCAAGGCTACAGTCCAGTCATTGAGCGTTTCCAAAAGATTTGTACTAAATGACCTCCCAGAAATAAAGCCATGCTGGGAAGCAGGAATTAACAAGTTATCTGCAAGATGATGAAGATGTGAGTTTTCAACAACTTTTCAAAGCGTGTACGGAAAAAAGAAGTGATACTTATTGGCCTATAGTTGGAAATACCCGACGATGGCGCCTTCTTCAGGAGTGGGGTGATATAGGAATGTTTCCATAATCAGGGCACTTGCGAGTGCATTATGGATTGATTATATAAATATGATAGTGGAAACGCAATGGCCTGGGCAACGTTTCTAATGAATGGGAAAGGAATTCTGTCAGGAGTTGTAGAGTACGAGCATGGCCATTTCATGAGAAGACTCTACAGATCCCTTGGATCAAAGTATGGAAAGGAGTGCATTTTACAAGAGACAGTGGGCGAAAATGAGGGGAAATCGTTGTTATCTTGTTGAAATGCTTCACTTCACTCAACTGCAAACGCCATGGCCTTTCGGAGTCGTTTAGAAGTAGTCTGCCCTCATACCTCAAATCCGTAAACTGAGATTTCTCGCGCAGCCTAGATCTCACGAATTTGAGAAGACGCTGTTTGTCCTTAGCTTCAACAATTTTCTTTTCTACATTTCTATTGAACTTCATAAGTCTTTTGGTGAGAACTAAGGAGAATCTGGTGTACTCAACCCAGTCGCCGGTCAGTTTGGCATATTGAAACAGGCATTCTTTATGTTCAGACATGTTGGGTAAATATTCCGGTAGGTTGCGCTTATTCTGATAGACGAGAGCCCAGATGACGTATTGATCAATAGTGTTGAGTATAAGGAGGAACATAGAGTACTTATCATCAACTGTAGTTAGTGTTTCGAAGGATTCAACCCATAGGATACTAGAAAGATAACTGCGGACGCGGGAAATGTCGCATTTATGAAGTAGTCGTTTGAAAACAGGCACGCAAGGAGGAAGACTGGCAGTAATCTCGAGAGAAATGCTTGAATGATCGCTATGCCCAAGAGCAGAATTAATTGAGATATTGTTAATAAGGTGCTGATCATTTGTGAGCACTAAGTCTAATATGTTATACCCCTGGTGGCCTCCTTTACATACTGTGAGAAGCCGTGATATGCAAAAGTTTCCGAAAGAGGGTGCGTATTTTCTCTATTAGGATTCCATTGTGCCCAATCAATTTCTGATGTGTTGAAATCACCAATTACAATAACAGGGCATGAGGCAACAGATAGGTCACTGATTGCTTTCGCTAATTGTTCTGTGATATGCAGTGGTGTCGACGGCGGCCTCTATACTAAAATTCCTAACAGAAAGTTCAGGGGCAGAAAAGTCCAACGCTAGAAATTCGTACCCTTTATGGAACGACTCAGATAAGATTGTGGTATAATTCACAGTTTTTCTGATCAACATAGCAACCCCTCCACCAGTTCTGCGCGCCCGATCACAACGCACAATAGAGTTATCACTAATCCAGTCACTGAGCATAGATGGGACAGAATGGGCTTTTTTCAACCAGGTCTCAGTGAATAGATAGAGATCAAACCTATCACGGATGACAAGGTCAAGAAATGAACAATTTTTTGGAAAAGATCTGATGTTAATGTTAAGCTATTTCACGGTGTGGATGTAGTCACGAGCCAAGCACTCCGGAAGTACCCTTCGCTTGAACATCCATAACTTCTATAGGAGTGGAGCTTTCTTAGAGGGAAAGCAGGACTGTGGCGTACGAGGTTGACACTTACTACCTAAGTTCAAGCGATTTCTAAAAAACGTCTTTACAGAGATTTCTCTTCGTTGTGGTCCCGTTGTGAATTTTGGGGTCACCTACAAGTTTTTGCTTTGAACTACCCTAACAATCTTCATGCAGACATTTGTGAAAGAAAAAGCAGTGACGAAATTTCGAAGCTTTCTACTTTTTTAGCAGGACTTTCAACTTTATCTCTAGGCCTGCCGTTCGGAGAAATCCCCGTTGCAATCTTCACGCACCTCCTTCCGAACTACGCGAAAAACCCACCCCTTCAACGTCATTTGCTTCCAGATCGTTTGAAGACTTTGGTATGCTTCTAAACCACATGTTTTCGCCAAGGGTAACAGGAAATAGTTCACTCGGCGCCGATGGCATCATCTCTGTAAAGCGCCATCATAGGGCTCTCCCGCAGAGGAGAGAGTGCAACATCTAGATATTCGCAAAGGAGTGTATTTTCGTCCGTTTATTGATTCATGACTTGTGGGCGGCTGTCGTAAATTCGCTGTCATGCCCGCTCACCCACTTCTCTGCGCTCAGCAGGTCGCTTCTGCTCTTGTGTGTGGTGTGGTGTGTGTGTGTGTGTGTGTGTGTGTTGTGTGTGTGTGTGGTGTGTGTATGTGCGTGTGTGGTGTGTGTTCAGGTGTTCTTCACATGAATCAGTCTTCATCAACTGAAGCTAAAGAGAACTGGGTATCCTGCACTCTTCACTTCAGAATGAAGCCCTGCCGCCTACGGACCCCCCCCCTCCTTCGAGGTCAAATGCGACTCTGATTATCACAACCATGGCGTGCCCTGCTAACAGTCCGCCTGTTTTATGGCGGAGATCGTGGCAACGGGTAGGCTTAGCCAAAAAAGGTAAGGTGCTAGCGCTTTCACCTCTCAGCTGTGTGCTGTGGATCAGCCAACCTGTGCTCTCGTAGACACGCTCACTCCTCTCGAACAGGATTGCTTTCAATCAGACTCGTCGGGAAGGACACAGAGTCCAGTTGTTATATGGGATGGTCTGAATGCCCAGTGAGTTCCAAAAATGCGTTGTAAACACCAAATAATTTATCTTCTCATCTTATCCCTGTCCCCTTATTCATATTGTACAATTGCTTTTGCTTCGCATGCGATGTCAATGTCTTATGCCTTCCTTTGTGCAGAGCGCTCGGGAATCTTTATCTTGATGATTCTGGTGTGATCTCTGCGGCTTCAGCTATGCTCGAGAGTTATCAGGTTTGTTTCTCTAGAAAAGTTTCTCTATAATTCTGAATTACAGTCGTCATCCTTGCACTTGATAGTCAATGTCAGTGCGCTGCGTGCGGCGGCGGTCGCCCGCACGCGTACTGCACCAAATCGTTGAACCAGGAAGTGGACAATTACTGTATTATCTCCTTCGTGTTACTCGTTTTCTATCACTTTTTGTCGCATACGCGTCGAAAAGGCTGAGAAGGCTTCAAACAGTGTGCACGCTCCTTCTCGCCGACACGCCCCTATCAAGTGCAAGGATGACGACTGTAGATTTAAGAGTCACAGCGTCCGCATTTCATTTCAAAACTACTTATGCTCGAATTCATAGTCGTGTTCCCTGAGGATGACGGGGCATGTCAGCGGGGCTGCGTTTCGCACGGCGTCAACCCGCTTTTTCTGTTGGCAAACCGCAGAACGGTATCATACCGCTCGTACCAGTCATTTACCAGCAGTGGTTGTCACTAACCCGCTTTGATACCTAGGAGAGAGTACCGGCGTGCTAAACTCAGCACGCCCCATCGTCCGCAGAGAACCAGACTTTATACTCGTGACTTAAAAATTTCAAGCTACGCACTCTCATGTTTTTTATGCTTTTTGTTATCACTAGCTAAAGAAATAAGCCTTCTGGCCGTGCATCTTCGGAAAGTTCATCTTTGCACGGTGGCCTTCTCTTTCGTAGCTTGTGTTTTGATTTTTTCCTCAAAAAAGACGGCTATCGATCGCGTTCCAATTCAGGTCATGAGGCTTTTCAAGATCGTCCCGTTTGACAACATATCACAGCAACTACTGTTCAATCGCGCTCCCTAGAATGGTTAGAGTGGTGGTCGAGTTTATGTATTAATCTCTAGACTCCTCTGAAACTGCGGTTCTTTAGATTCGTAGTGCAATCATCTACCTTTTGTAGCCGTCTTTTAGTTCTGTTGTTTTACTTATGCACTGTGTGATAGTACTTGAACAAACCATGAGTGTATTGGTACTTATCTGTCCATCATCTTTGGTTCTTCACCCTGGATCGAAAGATGTGTGCGACAAGTCAGTCTTATTCAAGGGGAGTTATACGGCTACCTTACACTTGCTACCTTTAGTGCTACTGTAAATGTGAGAAGGGTGGGAAAGGCGGGGTTTCAGCGTCTTTTGCAGGTCGCAGAGAACGAGGCAAATGGACTCTGGGGAACGTGCGCAACATTTGCCCAAATTCAAAGTAGCAGTGCCGCAGTGCTTCGACTATCTCGACTTTTTTAGGTTGAATGGCTCTTTCTGTGTCTATGTGTGCCTAGTCACCTGGGTATGTGACAAGAGGATCGTAACTCGCCGCGCTGCTGGGCGTTGCGTGCGACGTCTAGCCTGCAAAGTACGATTCCAGGTGGTAGATGGCGACAAAATGCAATCAAGGACCGAAAGCAGTAATGACTGCCTGCGATGACGGGGTCTACAGGAAGTTCGGTGCTCCATTCAACAGGTTAAAAGGAGTTATGAAAACGCCGCGCCCATCGCCGCGCGTGGCGGTGCGGCGGATTACGATCCTCTTTACCGTCTCCCTAGTCACCTAGCTAGGAAACACTGCTAGTGCGCGTGATGCCGCGACTTGGAAGTACATTTACGGTTCACATCCGTATAGGCAATGAGACAGGCTGTGCGAATCATCTGCTCATCTGTTCTTATCATCTGCTTCCTGTGGGACACGGTCCTCGTTTTGACGTTCAGGCACCTTCTGTAGGTACGGTAATCCTGTCTGCGAGTGGGAAGCATACACTGCGTATACACTGCCACAGCTCAAGAATACGGGAGAGAAGCGCTATCCGTCACGAAGCCACGGCACCGCCCAACCTTCATTTCTTGGTGCTTTAAGGTGGTGCGGTTGTTCCGCTCTTAGCGCTTTCAATTTCGAGCGTTGAGAGTGAGGCGAGAAGGAGAATGAGGTGACACCAACAAAGGTGAAGAGTGAACCTCCTTCCTCCAGATTCCACGTCAAAAAATGGGATCGATTCTCTTTCGTTCATAGGCAGTGCCACCGTGCCGTAGTGTGGTGGTCTCGCTTCAAAGCCAAGTGCTCGTGGGTTTGCATCCCGTTGGCGCGAAATTTTTTGCTTCGTCTCCTATAAGAGCTTTCACTCTCATTTCTGAAATTCTTCCGTGTTTACGGCCCAGCAGAGCAAGTATATCAAGTATATGACGCAGTCGATCGAGTATTGATTGATCACTATCTGTCCTCTCTGAGCTAATTACCCACTCGACAATTCGAATTTTTGGCCAGAATTACAACTCGGCCAGAGACTCATTTCTGGGGGTATTTTGACTCCCTGAAAACGAATATCATATTCGTTTGGCGAGAGAACGATTGCAACCTTACACATTGTTGTGGTCATCAACTGAACGAGAGAACCAATCGTTTTCGCGTCAAACGCATGCGATATTTGTGCTCAGGGGGTCAAAATACCCCTAGAAACGAGTTTCTGGCCGAGTTGGGATTCTGGCCAAACCTTCGAATTGTCAGATGGGTAATGAGTTCAGAGAGGACGAATAGTGATTAATCAGTACTATCGACCGCGTCATATACTTGATATACTTGCTCTGCTGGGCCGTAAACACGGGAATTCTAAAAATTGAAAGCTCTTATAGGGGACGATGCAAAGATTTTCGCTCCAGCGGGATGCAAACCCACTACCATTTGGCCTTGAAACGAGACTACTACCACTAGGCCACGGTGGCACTGGCCGAAGACGGATCAGCAGCGCTTAGACAAAACCGAGTTTTCGCAAACTTTGACCGCCCAGAATTCGTCTGGGAGGTCTCCCTAGCACTTTTAATCTGCATATTCATAATCAGCATTCGGAACTCTATCGATGTACCTAGGTCTCCTTTCAAAGTTCCATGGGAAAGTTCAAACCATTCCCTTGTAAGCCGAAAAGGTTTTAGTTCCAATGGAAACTGTTAGCAATGCTCAAACTCCAGAAAGCGATTCTGTGAAGTTGTCTGTCCAGAGGTTCAGTGGAATATCGCTAGTTGTTTTGTTAGCATTTCATATCTGTGCATTTTGGGTACAGATGTAGAAGTTACTGTTCATTGTTCATTAGCTCGAGATAGAGAGATAGATGATGTGATTAGCTTGTGATTCATCCCATACGAACTACTGATGGAGCAGCGTCACGCTGCGATGTGTTACCTTCCTGTTGCGTTGCTTTTCAAAAGCGATTTGTCCATTTGGTGTTTAGCAACGATAAATCATTGACTCAACTCGTCTGTCTTCTGAATCTTTTGTATCGCTGTTCATAGCTTGTGACGCTAGCGACTTCGTATCGCTCACCTGTTTTCCATAGACATATGAAGCTATTCGGACGTTTATGGAAACTAGTAACATGATGCGTCCATGCGATAACGGAGACTTTGTTCTTTCGAGTCTGCTTGAGGATGGCGCATTGCACCCCACATTTCCGCGTCCCAACGCACCTGCATAACAGTGGAGGTTCATGATTATCCGCAATAAGATAGGGCAGTCTTCATACTT